CATTGTCGCGCCTATCTTTTTTTTTTTTTTTTTTGCTGCGTTATATCAATGTTTTTTAACTTAACCTCTCTCTTCCCTCTTTTTGGTTAAATTTCATTGGAACCATTAAAAGACGGGGGAGGGAAGGAGCAAAAAAATAATAATTCTAGTGTCATCAAAGGCCCATGCCGACCAGCAAAATGATGAGGCCAAAACACAACCTCGAAGACATCAAAGCAGTCCACGCCTCTCGTGCATAGCAGAAAGTACGGTCTAACGCAGGGGTTCTCAACCTGTGGGTCGCAACCCCTTTTGGGGTCGATTGACGATTTGTCAGAGGTTGCCTAAGACCATCGAAAATATGGATTCTTCTATTGCTGTGTGTGTGAGGGGGGGGGGGGTCGCGGCAAAGTAAGAAATTGTAAAAAATTGTCGCCGAGCTTAAAAGGCTGAGAGCCGCTGGTCTAACGTTTTGCAAATGATAATATGTACAGTGTATATATAGTGTTTTTTTTTGATATAGCAACAAGAAAACATATTCGGGCCTTTGTGTCTTGCTGATGTAACATTTTTTAAAAGTTGTCTGTATTGAATTTTTTTTCTTTGGTCGCGACCAGACTGGCCCTTTTGGTACCGGGCCACCGGGCATTTGCCCGTTTGCCCATATAGCCAGTCCGCCCCTGCTAAAGTCGTTTGAAAATAAACCCGAGTACATTCACCGAGAAGATTGTTAACCTCGAAATGTAATGGTGACAGACATAAAACAAAAACAACTACAAATCTTATATTATAAAGTAGAATGTGAGGCGTATGTATGATTGTATGTTACTTATAGACATCAAAACCGCTTGACCAATCTTGATAAAACTAGGCAGGAATGTTCCTTGGGTACTAACTTAGACCGTAGTGTATGTATTGTAGCCCTAAAACAAACTTAAGACCCTCAAAAAAAAAAATTAAGTTGTCCGACTCTATTATGGATCTAGGCCATGGTTAACAATGTTGACATGAGAAAAGATCGAAAGGATTTAGACCTAGATCTAATTTTAAGAAATACACTTTGCACACATAGTTTTTTACTTTGACACACGAAAATACAAAAGAAGATCCATTGATTTCATTATGTAATAAAATTAACCTTCAATTTTGTGTTTCAAAAGCATTTTTTACATAAATTAGTTCCTGATATCTGTGACTACAGATTTCCTGGCGAACATCCTTTCATTAGACATTACCAAATGGTTACACATTAACAGTGATTAGCACATCTCTCTACTGAGTCTATTCCTAGGCCTAGGTCTAAAACTCTTATTGAACTTTAAGATGATAAAACTTATTTTCGCAAAGATAGTTTTATGCATTAACACATAAGCATACTAATTATTGTCCATTCATTTCATATTTTAATATAATTAACATTCAAATTTGTTTTTCTAAAGCATTTTTAATACATTCGTTCGATGAAAAAAGGTCACGCATGCGCAACACAGAATGAACTCTATAAAAGCCAATTTTAAACTCTAGATTAGTGTAGATTTAGATCTATGTCTACCTCAAGATCTACTTTACACTGTAACACACGAACATACAAAATTAGATCTATTCATCTCAAATTTTAATCAAATATATGTAGGCCTACAAGCAAATGTTTTAATTTGAACAAATGGATTTAAGCCTATTAGTATTTTGATTTGAGAGCTTCATTCACACTATTTTTACATTGACACATTCGCTTTACTTATTACATTATCATTTCGTTTAATTGTTTACAAAACACTCTTAGTGACTATATCGACAGTAATGCGCAAATAAGGACCCGCGGGTCGCGGGTAACATATGTCTAGTGCTTTATAAAGAATTTTGTGTAGAGGTTGTTGAAGCGACACTCTCGTCTTGAATCTTTTTTTTTGTTTTATTTATCTCATAATTTAAGATATGTTATATGGTGACAGACATAAAACATAAAAGCAACAATAGTAAGTAAAATAAAACACTTCTTAACTAAGCAGTTTTCTGACCTTGGCCTATTTAACTAGCGTCAAATGTCATGTACACAAACTCTAGTGAAAGGCAACACAAATATAGCATCTGTTCTTCCCACATAATAGAGCACAAGAACTACTTGCCTGTAAGAGACCAAAGCGGCATTGAACATCGAAAGGAAACAATAGATACATTTTTCTAAATTTTGGCTATGTTAACAGTCTGAGCCATGTCGCTTGGACAATAAGATATTCTAAAAGTAACTTGTGTTGAATACTTTAAGTTTTATACAGGTAAACTTTTTAAAAATTCTGAATAGATGTTTTGCACAAACGATTCGGCAGAGTGAGAATATATTTTAATACAGTTGGGCAAATTAAGCTAGAGAGAAAACTGTTTTCAACAATCTGCTTCTTCTCTTGTTTGTAAAAATGTCTGTAAAGTTTTTTACATGTTTCGGATGTTCCTTCAGAGTTGAAGATAATTTACTTCCTAGTCCAAGCCTACCGCTGGCCGACGGGAAATAGAAGTTGGCAGGGTATGAACCCGGAGCCATCGACAAATCTGAACGAAAGTCCAGCGCGCTGTACGACCAGGCAGCCACCCCATGATTGATTGGACTAATACTCATGCGCATATAATGGGAAAGGAAACAAGTTATACATTAAAAAATCATTTCCTAAGGTTTCATCATATTTATATAGGAAACTAAACAGTCATATTTAATTGCCATAATTTTGTAACTATTCTAATTAATAAAGATAAAGGAAACATATCACTGCACAAAAGAGGTAAATATGTAAATTATAAAGTAATTCACGTCCTTGCAATTTCATTAGGATAAAACTATAAGATGTCGTCGTGAATAGTATACTTTTAATGATGTAAAAATGTCATTAATACAAAGTATTTGACACATTCCTAACAAACACTCTACATATTCGTTATATACATAGTTTAGAATCATATAAATAAAATAAAGATTCTGTCTTTGCTTTGCTAAATGGAGGTACGTTGAAAAAAAAAGGGGTTATTACTGATACTCAGCAATAAAAACAATAGAATTTCCTCTGAGTCTCATAGATGAAGCACTGGGCTCTAATGATAAATACACATACACAAATATTGATTCAATAATCAATCACGATATCTTTCTGAGTTTATGTGCGAGATTTCAGCTTGTAAGGACAATGAAAAATTGTGGAAAGTAAATATTTCTAAAAAGTAAATATTTCTAAAAAAAATAAATAATTCTATTTTTATAAAGACTATGACGAGAGTGTGGTTTAATAATTGGAATTGAAAAATTAAAGACGCAATGCTCTATTCTCAGCTTTATTCTATTCTATTCTATATTCTATTCTATAACTAGTTATAATTCAAAGTGTAATGGCATCAATCAAAATGTAAGGACGTATAAAGAAAGATCTTCATCTATTGAAATTTGAAAAGCGAAAAAAAATTCCGTTAATGTAATAATTATGTGATACATTTCTGAATTTAAATTGATTTGACTTAAATTTTATACATCGCAAATCCAGGCCAAGGCCGAAGGAAAGAAAACGGTAAAATCTGGAAGTTCTAAAGTTATTAAAAGTACTTTGTACTATGTTACTATAAAAACACTGTTATCTTAAAAATTCTCTAAAAATATTTATTTAGCAGACACTTAAAATCAAACGCTCATTAAAGCTTGTGTTGTTTTTAATATATATATATATATATATATATATATATATATATATATATATATATATATATATATATATATATATATATATATATATTATGCTTTATTAATTCATTGTTACCCATTCCACACAAAAAAAAAATATTGGGGGAAAAGATTGCAGATGGCGCAGTAGTGAAGTGGTAAATTGGTAACTCACAAACCCATGAGAAGGAATTCTTTCTAGAGACCAAAATATTAACTTAGGTTCTATTGTAATCAACTGAACCTCACTCCATAGAGGGCTTTATTTATTATTTGAAACGACCCTAAGCTGATTGAGATCCGGGGCCCTTTTTGGGATGCTCAATAATCCCAGATATTACAGCTTGTGTTGCCCACAGGTAAACCCGGCCCTGGTGTCAGACACAGAAGGCCCTTGTTAACAATTACCCAAATTAACGTATTAATACCTGATGTAATGTCCATATTTAGCTTAGCGACGCAATATGGTTGACGGACTTTGAACGCGACATTTAGTGACATCATGGATGGTTTAATTTGCTTAAGTATTAGTTTAATCAGTTGGCATAAGGACTTTGAGGACTACAACTCACTCTCTGTCTGCCTGTTACAATTTGTATTACACCCACACCCAATCTTGGATGCACAATTATTTCTTGTACCTGACCAAAGAAGAATCAATAAAAAAAAACAGATAAACTAATTGGTTAGTTAATTATTATGTTTATTCATTATTTTGTTTGGTATCAAACAAGGGAAAGAAATGTTAATTCCATGACTAATCCAAACTAATGAATATAATGACACCTATTAGAAACTTTTGTTCAAGTATTTTTTTCCCCCTCTTTTACACGTGTCCTTGTGTTTTTGCTGCACTGGCATAGGACAAAAAGCCTGAACAAGACGCTCCAACATCTCCGAAGGTTTTCCCTACAACTTAAAATAACAAAAAATTGTTTAAACCAAAGCAAAACAATCATTATTTATAATCACCTAAATCTTACCTATTTACTGAAACATTGGCACAAATGTTCAACATTTTTAAAAAAATTCAATTTAACTCTTACTTTTTTCCCGCCAAATCCATAGAAAGAAAAGATTCTATCTTCAGAACTAGATGCGTTCTAAGCTATAAACCTTTGAGATCAGCTGGAGTGAAACATGCGGGCTTTTATTTATAGGCTAGGGACACGCTCGAGATACGCACGTTCAAAGTCAACAAGAGATTTTTGTTTGAAATCTCTAATTAAGATCTCGCCCTTCCGGTGTGGGGTGGACATCAAATACCTTGACAACACAAGGCAAATAAACAACAGAGAGGTACAAAATGGCATGAAAAAGAAACCCAGTGCAGGGCCGGATTTAGCCTTGATAAGGCCCTAAACCCTTGGGACCCTTGGATGGCCATTTTTTTTCCTTTGCCCTGTCCTTAAAATGATGGAAAATATCTCTGTAATAATTTTTGGGGACTTCCTAGCAAGCGCGGAACATAGGTTATAGCTGAAGAGACCTAATGGTGAATGCAGCACTAGGGATAGGCTAAAGAACGGAAACTTAGGTGAAATGTATATTTGAAAAATACAAAAATTAGAAAATATTTAAAAAGGATCTAACCATAGACTTATATATACTACTAGACTGGAAACCGGAAATTTATTATTATCCGCGACTGATCGATCGTGAACATTTTGTAGAAAGTTGGATCAAGGCGTTGTTTTGTAAAGTAGTTAAAAGAAGTAAAGTTGTTGTTTTTTTCAACCCTAAAAATCTAAAAATTAAATTATATGTTACATAGGTTAGGGTTGAAAAAAACAACAACTTTACTTCTTTTAACTACTTTACAAAACAATGCCTTGATCCAACTTTCTAAAAAATTTTCACATTTTTTGTAGTGTTAAAAGGTCTCCATGTCCAGTCTAGATATAATATATATAAATCTATGGATCTAACCCTTTTAAAGTATTTTTTTAAAATTGTTTTGTTTACTTTAAAAGGACTTAGTTTTAAGTGTACAATTTTACAGACTTCAATATTTGACGTTCTTTCAAAAAGTAAAAATTTTACATCGTAGCCTTCCTTAGGATAGCGGATGGAGTTTGGGATCGGAACCACACGGCCAGGCAGTAATTTACTCGAAAGTTAAAATTTTCTCAGAAAATAGAACAATGAACTTAAATGAAAAGAAGAATTTTATGTAGCGAACAAAAGTATAGCGGTCGATAACATTGGCATCTCTGACATTTCATTCTCTCTTTCCATCTTGTTTTTATTACCTCTCCCCTCCCCTCTTCCTTTTCTCTGACCTCTTAGCTCCTCAATATTAACTTTTAACTTTGTAGATGAATCAATCCTGGAAGAGTCTTTTAGACCCAACACACAGGTTTTGGTTTACGATCTCATTTTGAGTAGCGTGCGGCTTGAGCACTTTTACCAGTAACGTCCTTATTTATTTCCCTTTCTAGAGATGAAAAAAAAAAAACGGAGTTATCTCCATTGAAAGGCAAGATCTAGGAGTTCGAAAACACTACAGTAACCAAAACGAGGCTAATTAAAACTAGGATGGTAGCGCTTGATCAATATGGCGGTAGTGTAACCTCGTTATCTTGTTTGCATCACTCTCGTATCGACTACAAATAAGGTATTAAATAATCTTTAACATGTAGGTATACTGTAAAGGTGATGAAGCATTGTGGGAGCACTGAGCAGAGGTGGGAGCAGAGGTGGGGACACGTGATGACTCGCGTCAACAAGATGTTAACAGCGACACCTATCATGCAGGGCCACCGCTACCTATTGTGCAATGTATTCATTACACGCATGTGGCCGAATGTACGGGGCGGCCCAATCATGACTGGAAGATTCCTTTTTTTTTTTAATTTTTGGTTTAATAATAACAAAAATTACCTCAATATTTTAATTAAATTTTAATGATTTCATTATCCTTGGAAAACTTAGAAGGAGGGAGGTGGGGAGAGAAGACGATATTCGTACAATAAGAAGTTATTTTGGAAACTTTAAAAAGAAATGAAAGTGCCGCGCGAGGGATTCCCTCGGGTTTTTCCATAGGCGCCGACCATTCCCTGGCCTTGTTTTTATATTTGTTTCGAGTCGAATACCCGTCCTGTAGATCTAGTGATTAGAAAGGCAATTTCAAAACATTGTCACTTTTATTTGAAATGGCTGTTAGTTGAGATTAGAATATTTGTGGCCGATTATAGAGTGTAGATCTAGATCTACATCATCTTCATTTAGTTCATTTGTGTTCTAGTTTAAAATACATTTAATTATCTTCTTTTCGTAGTAAAAATCAGTTTAAAACGGAATCTGTTTTATAAATATTTAATATTAGAACTACTTAATATTTTATTATAATAACGGTGTGTATTTTCATTTTAGTGGGTTTTTTTTAAATTGTGCAAGTATTCCGTATTGGATCATTAATATTATTCTGTTTTGCATTATTGATCATCTGTATCTTTAATGCAACGTTTCTACAACTCTGGGTCCCCCATTGGAGGGGGGAGGGGGAAGCAAACTTCTTGGTTCAGTTGTACTAGCTGTTTAGAGAGACAAGCCAAAGACCAACTAGGAGAGGGGGCGATGAATTTTTTTTTATAGATAAAACGTTTTCAAGGTTCACTAACACGCGAGACAATACTTAACAGGTACGGACAAAAAGGTTGGGGGGCAGTTATGCTAGGGACAGAGAGGTTAGGGTCAGTGAGACTTAGACACATCTATTGAAAGACGACTGCTACCCGTTGGTCCAAACGTGACCAATCGTTCTTAAAGGCCTCAACACTGACCTGCGACGTCGCAACCTGTGGACAGTTGAGACCAAAAGTTCGTTGCACACTATTTAATTTGGGTCTGTTCAAGCTGAGGCTTGATTAGGTCGGAAAAGACTAGAAATGTAGTAATTCTAAAGGACACGATATTCACCACCAGATGTTCATACATCTCTAGATTTTCATACTCCACCAGGTAATCTTACACTACCAGAAGTTCATCATACACCACCAGGAGATATACACCATCAGATAACATACACCATCAGATGTTCACACATCATCAGATGATATACACCCCTAGATGTTCACACATCATCAGATGATATACATCACCAGATGCTCATAATTCACCCGATGATCTTACACCACCAGATTATATACACCACCAAGTGATCTCACAACACCATATAATATCACCAGATGACATGCAACACCAGATGACATACACCGCCAGATGTTCATACACCAACAAATTATCTTACACCACCAAGCGATCTTACACCATGAGATGATATACACATCCGGATGTTCTTACACCAGCATATAATCTTCACCATCATAATATCTTACACCACGAGATGATTTTACACCACTACGTGACCCTTACACCACCGGATGAGCATACGCCAACAAATGATTAGGACACTGGGCAAGTAGAGCGCTAATAATATGTTAATGTATGAAATGCAAACATCGCTAAGAGTAATTGAAGGCTCAATCACACCTAGCAGTGAAACAACTACAATACCCCAATTTTTAAAGTACTAATGTGTAAAAATATAATGTGTAATATTCTATAATCTATAGGAGTTTCTCTTTTGCTAGATTTTAAAACAAATTTATTTAAT